ATATTTTACACAATCTACTACATGCCTTCTAGTTCATAAAATTTTAGCAAGTAAAAGGCCTTTTAGTATCATTCTAAAAATATACACCTTTATGGTGCCCTAATTTTAGATTTACTGATTTTATTAAGTAAACATAAAAATAACTTTGATGCTGTTAGTAATATTTCAAGATGAACACTTACTGGACTAAAGCAACTTAGGTTCACTTGATTATCCATACATACAAGTTTTTTTTTTAATCATGTTAAAATGTATCAAATATGATACAACAAACTTTTGAGTAACATTCATTTGTGCATCTCTCAATCATCATTGTATTGTATTGCATTAAATGTTTTGCCCCACAATAAAAACTAAAGCTTTGGTCATAAAAAAAAGCAATTAAATATCATTTCACTAAGAATTTATTGTTATTATCTGATATTTATGCTTTTTATGCAAGTAGTGTTATACTGTTAAAAAGATTTTATTGATTTACATTACAAACTATCAGAATTGTTTCTTACTTTTTGGCCATAAAAAAAATATAAGAAACTGAAGCAAAGTGCATATTTTTTCTCAGTTTGGGCCTCAAGTATCAAGTATGAACTCTGTATCATACATACTATATGGATCATTAAAGCCTTATGTATCAAATATGATACTCAACAAAAAGACATAAGCAAACTTGTTAAAACATATATTTGTTCTAAAGTCTCATTAGTGTGTTCCATTAATCAATTTCTTAATATTACTTTATGTAAGTCTTTACAGGGTTAAATGTTCAATGCACTCTTGTGCAATATAAAAAATGCATACAAATATGGATGTTTTTCTGCATGTAATAAAGATTGAGGAAACTTTGTTTGTTCATAATTTAGCCCAGATTCTATTCCCAGTTAGAACAACGCAAGAACTGTCAATTTTTCGAAGCCAAAATCATACCTACATGTGAAGTTCAGATAGCATTAACAGGGCTGTACATGTAATTACCATTCTTTAAATGACACAAGACTGAAATACTACCAAAACCAGACTCACACCACAGCTGAAAATTAGCAGCAGCTGCATAATCAACATTTATTGCTATGATCAATCATAATTAAAAACCTTTCCTTTTTCCACTTTTTTATGTACCTCGAATACAGCTGTCCAGCACTGAATTTCAGGCAGTATAAAGTAGGTGTTGATACACAGCCCCATTAACAGATCAGTGTTTGTTAGTTATTTGAGTGATTTCTAAAACAGGGCTTGGAGTCCTATGAGTCGCGTCTCCAGAGTGGTCTCCTCCAGCGGAGTGCCAGGATGTCGAGCGATCATGAAAATCAGTGATTTGCCGGAGGCGAAGGCCAGGCACAGTGAATGAGGCAGCGTGGTACCCATCCCTGACAGGGCACTGTCCTTTGGGTTTACACTCTCTCAACTCAGGAGAAATAAAAAGTTTGCCATTATAGAGCTCTCCGAATACGATTAGAAATATATTTTTTTTGTACAACAGTTCTATTTTAAAACAACTCAACACTGTAGCTAAAATACTGCACTATAGTAAAATATCCCCATCAACCTGCAACCTCAATGTGACCTAATTCAGTTAAATGTGACTGTACTACACAAGGGCATGTTGTCGTTTTTCTTCTTGGAAAACAGTGGCAGTTCCCAGCCATTAGTTCATGTCACAGTGGCTGAACTATGTGGTCCCGCTGTGTCCCTCTGAGAGCTCCAGCTAACGACTGACTGGAAAACATTCGTTCACGTGTTGATGATTTGGTTTCTTCTTCTTCTTCTGTGAGAGTTTTCAGGTGATGTGGCGTTTGGATGATTATAAAAACGTACATCTTCAATAGTAAACATTTTTCACGTTGACCCTTTTTTATGACGTCGCGTTCGTTTTTCTTTTAAAAACAGATCAATTCCTCAGAAATGTCATCTTCGGTGGGAAAAACATCTTGATAATCTAGATGGAGAAAAAAGGTAGTGCTTTTACCCAGTGATGAACATGCTGGGAATGAATCTAAATATCATAATGAGAACTGTGCAGCTTCAGTGTGAGTGATTATGTGTCAGTCATGAGTTTATACCCGTCACACACTCTTCAGATGAAAAACTAGCGGCCTCCACTTGCGTTCACTAGACCATGGAAATCCTCCCAAGCCCTGGAAGATCACACACACAACATATGAATATTAATACTGTCAAATATATCAACACTACAAATAAAAACAATAAGAATGAGGGGGGAAAACTATACAATAAAGCACAATTCTATTCTCAAGTAAACTGATACACAATCTTCACATTAATAAATCAGAAGGTTTTTTTTTAATTATCAGAATATTTTAATATAGTAAAATCTGTTTCATAATGAGAACTGTGCAGCTTCAGTGTGAGTGATTATGTGTCAGTCATGAGTTTATACCCGTCACACACTCTTCAGATGAAAAACTAGCGGCCTCCACTTGCGTTCACTAGACCATGGAAATCCTCCCAAGCCCTGGAAGATCACACACACAACATATGAATATTAATACTGTCAAATATATCAACACTACAAATAAAAACAATAAGAATGAGGGGGGAAAACTATACAATAAAGCACAATTCTATTCTCAAGTAAACTGATACACAATCTTCACATTAATAAATCATGAGGTTTTTTTTTTAATAATCAGAATATTTTAATATAGTAAAATCTTTTTTTGTAATTGTATTTGTAATATTTCCTTCATTTAGATGCAAAGCTGATGCACTTTATCTCACAGCTAAAATCTAGGGTAAAAATATATTAAACATATTATAGACCTAAATATGTATAATCTGAAAAAAACTTTTTTGAAATTATTTGACTCGTTTGATAAAAGTCGTAATACCTTTCATATAGTAAATGCTTGCATCTCGTGATCAAATACTGTATATGAATTTATGGATCATTTTTCTAGTTTAAGAAGACAGTACAATTTCCCCCCACTCTCCCCTATATAACTCTATATTCATTGTAACTGATAAGACAGTTTTTACCGTTTACACATAAAATACCATTCAAAATTTTGAATAATTAGGATTTTTCAACATTTTTGAAAAAAAAAAAGCCTCATGTTCACCAAGGCTGCGCTTATTTATTAAAAAAAGTATTCTAATATATTTTAAAATGTAACTAATTCCTTTGTTTCAAAGCTGAATTTTCAGCATCATTACTCCAGTCGTCAGTGTCACATGATCCTTTAGAAATCATTCTAATATGCTGATTTACTTCTCATTTATTATTATCATTATATATTTATGATATTTTTTGTGGAAACCATGTTACGTTTTTTGTTACAGGTTTCCTTGATGAATAGAAAGTTCAAATGAACAGCATTTATGTAAAATAGAAATCTTTTGTAACATTATAAATACGGTCACATTTTTTTGGACCATTATATTTATATATATATTATATTTAACCAATCCTTGCTGATTAAAAGTAGCAACTTCTTTCAAAAAAACAAAACAAATCTTACTGACCCCAAACTTCTGAATGGTAGTATACATACACATAAATATCTAAGTGTATTGTATAACTCACTTGATGCTGTCGGTGTGTGTTTTATACTCCATAATGGTATTAGGAGGCAGGTTGAGGACTCTGCGTAAAGTGTCTCTAATGCGAGCAGTGGTGGCCTGGTCACTGGCCGTCTTATTCCAGATAGAAATGATATCCTCCTTCAATCAAAAGCACACATTTTTATTACAATACAGAAAAACTATTGTTTACATTATAATAGCTCCACTTATGAACACAAAAAGAGCTGTCAATTTTCTTAATGAACAATTGCCATACTGCTTACTGCAAATGACACTGTTTTCGATATGCTATTTTATAAAATAATATTTAGCAAATAGTAGGTTTTATTTGCATGCTATAAAAAGAAACAAACTATATAGCAGGAAATATTGTAGTACCTGGAAGCGAACGGACACAACGGCCCCACAGATCTCCTCGCCCACCATGAACTGCTCGCCAAGCATGGCCAAAATCAGATTCTCCCAGCAGCGTGACGCCAGGCCTTTACGAAGCCGGATGATCCATTTACCTCCACTCTTATTAGCATCATCCTATAATGCAATACAATACAAATTCTATTATCTGTCAGTAGGAAAAGAAGAATACATACATGTGAACTAACAATCTTCACCTCCCACATGGGTTTGATTCCTTCTTTAAACAGGTGGAAATCGCTGTGACCAGTCAGATCACCCGGTCGGATCATGTGACTATAAAAACGCCAGAACTGCTCCACCTACAAACACAGGGCAGCTGTTGAACTGTCAATCATATGATCATGTGACCTACAGTAACGCAGTCTAACTTCATCCCCCACTGTGCCTGTGTTTGAATCTTCAGTACGCGAGTCTGAATAAATATGTCAGTGTGAGTTTATGTGTCTGTAGGTTACCGAAGCAAAGCTGCCGATCTGTTTAATGTTCTGTTCGTAGCTCTGTGTGCTGGCTGGCCGTCCTGGTGTGCGACGAGAATACCAGAACGAGTAGTTGTACTGAAGAGGGTGCTCACCGGCCCCTGGGACCGCCGCCTGAAGATATAGAGCAGCTCGTGCACATTTGGGCGGCATTATGCAAATATTTCCACATAGTGAGGAAGATATGTGGGGGCGTGTTAGAAGGAGCCGTTTTAGGGGGGGCGTGGCAGAGACTTAACTTTGATAAAGAATATCTCTTTGGTTTTGAGACTTTAGTCTTTGCAACTTCAGGGATCTTATCTATGCACAATCAGCTTGTAACACTCCAAAGAGAAAGGGAAACTTGAAGTCGCATCATATGACCCCTTTAAAAACAGTTAAAACTGTTTTTGCTCTTCAACTGAAGACTAAAGAATTCAGATATGCCATCAAAAGAATAAAATATCTTCAAATAGAAATCCATTCTTTTAAATTGTTATATTTCAATATATAATATTTCTACTGTATTTTGATCAAATAAATGCAGCTTTGGTGAGCTTCGGAGACGGTTTTTTTAAAAACACTGAAAAATCGTTTTATGTTAGTGTCATTTTATACATTATCTTTATAGACAGGCATATATGTTAAATTAGGTAATACAAGTAGCTTTACAATGCACGCTTTTTTCAGTACCATGTTATACACTTTCATGATAGTACCACTGCCACGCACTTTATGTAAGGGTAAGTTAATTACATTTCTGAGGATTGTTATAAAGGATGTTGTTATAAAATTCGACTTTATTACAGAGGAAAGAGGCCCTGTTTGAGTTTGCAGAGACAGACTGCACTACCTTATTTGACCCTGCGCTTATAATGGTCAGCGGTTGCGCACGAGAAGTTTGCAAACATAATTACATAACACATTATCATACAGTAGTTTCGTTTCCACGTGCCATGTACAGTATAGCGTGTTTCGCTTCTGTACAACCCCTCGCGTGTTTATAACCAGCCTACACCGACACATGTCACTCCAGCAGGCTGCAGAGGAGAGTTGGAGCCCGGGGCGCAGAGCACCTGCCCCCGCTGCTCACACACACGCGTAACCGGTGGTCCGTCCTCGGCCTGGAGGCCCTGCGCATGCAGAGCTGGGTCCAGAAGCGGTCATTTGCATGCTGCATTCACCGCATGCATTAAAACACGATACATTACAAAATCTTAGGAGTCCAATCATGCAACTAAACATGGTGACCACCCAACCCATGCCAAAGCTTCTAGACACACCTCTTTTCCTCCCCTCTCTCTTTTTTGTCTCTCGGAGTTAAAGAGACGTTTGAAACGCATGCATTTGCATTCACGCATTCGTGCAGCGTCGTTGTGATTACTCACGCGTCAAATTTGTTGTTCATTATTTTCTAGGTGAGTGTCTGTCTCCGCTCTCGCGCCGACGGCAGCCCCGTCAATTCCGCAGCAGCGGCGGCGCACGCGCGCATCGCACCATTGTGGGTGAGGCGCGCGCTCTACACTTAGTGGATGTTTGTATTTTGTAGCAAATAAAAGTGAGATCAACTGTCAGCTTATCCTAGTCTAATTAACATGTCGGTGAATAGCTCATGTATAAATATTTTGGCTAAAACTCACCCATAAATGAAAAAGTAAACTTTTATAATGTATCTTTCTATCTCTCTCTTTCGGTGTATATATAAAAACACACATGCAGTTTATACAGCTTAACTATATATATATATATATATATATATATATATATATATATATATATATATATATAAAATATTGAATAAATAAATAAGAATTTGATGGGCTCAATTTTCACGTTTTGTTTTTTTATATATATAAACATATATGACAAACAAATGGCATTGTACTTAAAAAAAATCTCTATATATTCTGTATAGAGAGATACTATATATGATACACTGGCACTGATATAATTTAATTGTATTAAATTATTAAGAATTTGGGGTCAAATAATGTTCGATAAGCTAAGTCACTGGGTAATAGCAGTGCTGTTAAAAGATTAATCGCATTAATCGCATCTAAAATAAAAGTTTTTGTTTACATAATATATATGTGTGTGTGTGTAATGTGTATATTTATTATGTATATACTGTATAAATACACACATGCATGAAAATATTTAAAATCAATATGTTATGTTTATATACTAAATATATTTATATATAATATAAATTACATTATTATAAATATATACATGTAAATATTTTTGTGTGTGTTTATTTATATATACATAATAATAAATATACACAGTACACACACATATATTATGTAAACAAAAACTTTTGGATGAGATTAATTGTGATGAATCTTTTGACAGCACTAAAAATTTTATTTTTTAATAAGATTGAATATAAACAAATGAGTTGTTCATAAAAAAAAGTTGTATATACATCTCAATTATATGAGTGTAAAATAATTCTGCATGTTTTATGAATGTTTTGCAAAGCATTCAAACAAAGTAGGATTCAAGTATTTAAACACAAAATAATTTATTTTAATTATTAATTATTATTTTATAATATTGCCACACATATAACAGACACACACATGGGGAGGAAAGGGTCACCACAGCGTATTTGCTTCACATAACGATTCATTGTGTGGCGGCACCAGGCACTGGATCAGGGTGGGCAGTGACGCTACAAGTTCGTCACTAGTGCGGCACTAACAGGCCTGCGGACCCTCACACACAGGCTATTAGCACTCACAGAGGGGCCGATAGGGCAGTGACTGCGTGAGGGACTCCAACTCTGCGGCACACTTCAGAGAGAGCTGGAGCTTCAGTAGAGCCGACGAGCCTCCCACTTATTCAATCTACAATAAAATCAAAAGAGATAAGAGCATCTTACGAATATATATATATATATATATATATATATATATATATATATATATATATATATATAAAATATTGAATAAATAAATAAGAATTTGATGGGCTCAATTTTCACGTTTTGTTTTTTTATATATATAAACATATATGACAAACAAATGGCATTGTACTTAAAAAAAATCTCTATATATTCTGTATAGAGAGATACTATATATGATACACTGGCACTGATATAATTTAATTGTATTAAATTATTAAGAATTTGGGGTCAAATAATGTTCGATAAGCTAAGTCACTGGGTAATAGCAGTGCTGTTAAAAGATTAATCGCATTAATCGCATCTAAAATAAAAGTTTTTGTTTACATAATATATATGTGTGTGTGTGTAATGTGTATATTTATTATGTATATACTGTATAAATACACACATGCATGAAAATATTTAAAATCAATATGTTATGTTTATATACTAAATATATTTATATATAATATAAATTACATTATTATAAATATATACATGTAAATATTTTTGTGTGTGTTTATTTATATATACATAATAATAAATATACACAGTACACACACATATATTATGTAAACAAAAACTTTTGGATGAGATTAATTGTGATGAATCTTTTGACAGCACTAAAAATTTTATTTTTTAATAAGATTGAATATAAACAAATGAGTTGTTCATAAAAAAAAGTTGTATATACATCTCAATTATATGAGTGTAAAATAATTCTGCATGTTTTATGAATGTTTTGCAAAGCATTCAAACAAAGTAGGATTCAAGTATTTAAACACAAAATAATTTATTTTAATTATTAATTATTATTTTATAATATTGCCACACATATAACAGACACACACATGGGGAGGAAAGGGTCACCACAGCGTATTTGCTTCACATAACGATTCATTGTGTGGCGGCACCAGGCACTGGATCAGGGTGGGCAGTGACGCTACAAGTTCGTCACTAGTGCGGCACTAACAGGCCTGCGGACCCTCACACACAGGCTATTAGCACTCACAGAGGGGCCGATAGGGCAGTGACTGCGTGAGGGACTCCAACTCTGCGGCACACTTCAGAGAGAGCTGGAGCTTCAGTAGAGCCGACGAGCCTCCCACTTATTCAATCTACAATAAAATCAAAAGAGATAAGAGCATCTTACGAACTGCTTACGACACTTTTGGCACAATAAACATAGCTTTTCAGCAGTTTAAACATATACTATGTATATGATGCTTCAAAACTGAAGGTATGTATCATTCCTGACCTTATAAATATGAAAACCGATGGCATGGAGGGAATTTTCAGGCCTGTTTTTGCGTAGAGTGACCTTTACATTGTTACCTCCAGGGTCATAGGTCACAGTAAGGGGTATACGAGGGTTGAGCCCATGTGTGGAGAAGTTACGACTTCCTCCAGCAGTAGAACCGATGGACCAACAGCTATGAGAGCTGATGGTTTCCCACTCGCCCTCTGAACAGTGCTGAAGAGGAGGAGGGGATTTCATCACACTGGAGAAAAATACAGACATTTTGGACAAGTGATATGGCTTTATCGCATCATATTGCGTATTTAGATGCAGTGTATATATGACTAGTAATAATTAGTGTCATTATTACATACATGGCAGTTCAAAAGTTTGGGGTCAGTAAGATTTTTAAAAATATTTTATTCAGGGATGCATTAACTTGATCATAAGTGACCGTAAAGTAATTTATAATGTTACAAAAGATTTATATTACAATTAAATGCTGCTCTTGTGAGCTTTCTATTGATCAAAGAACCCTAAAAATGTATCATAGTTTCCACTAACTGTTTGTACACTGATAATAATAAAAAAAATTTCTTGAGCAGCAAATCAGAACAGTAACGTGATTACTTTTAAAAGGAGTAATCAGTAATTTGATTACATTTTCAGAGTAACTTGCCCAACACTGCACAGGAATAATACATTACATTTTAAAATATATTATAATAAAAAAAGTTATTTTAAAGTGTAATAATATTTTATAATATTACTGTTTTCACTGTATTTTTCACTGTATTCTTTTAAAAACAAAAAAGAAACATTACCAAACACAAACTTTTGATCTGTACAAAAAGTTCAATAAAGTTACATTTGTCTTTGTGCAGTCACAGGTTTTATTTGTATTTAAGGTGAAACATCTCACACATTAAACCTGACAGTGTTCACCTTGTTCAGAAGACACTGGTTCTTGAGTAACATGGAGCAGGCACAGAGCAACCAGCAGTCTCCCAGAATGCCTTGCTTTGGGTGGGCCTCCACAGGGTC